TATATATATAATTTAAATGCCACCAGCAAAATTCTATTAAATGTTTATGCAGTTTGTGGGAAGAGGAGTTGGGAAGAGTTTGTGACTGAAGGGAGCTCTGATGGATGGCTAGGACTGACAGACCTTGCAGTTAGAGAACACAGAATGAACAAAAGCTTGGGAGCACAAAATTTGAAGGGCATTTGGGTAGGAAGAGGGGTTCTAGATGCCATTTATTCTCCAGTCCTCTGAGGTAATGATCTGTGGAACATACAAACAAGGATTTATAGCCAAATCAGAACTGAAGCACACTTTATTAATCTGAGCACTCATCCTAATATCCCAGAAAATGTGAGCCTCCAGAAAACTTCAAAAAACAGGGCCAAAGTCAATCTATTTTTTCTCCCACTTTTTGTTCCCAATCGAATTAACTCTTTTTAAAAATATATATATAATTGATTCTTCTTAGTTTCATATGACAGTAGAATCCATTTTGATGAAATTATACAAGCATGGGATCTATCTTATTCTAATTAGGACCCCATTCTTATGAGTGGGCATGATGGTGGGATTGACTTTGGTATTTTCATACATGTGCACAGGAAAATTATGTTTGATTTATTCCACTGTCTTTCCTATTCCTATCCCCCCTTCTTTCTTTTATTCCCTTTTGTCAAATCTACTAAACTTCTCTTCTTCCCCTCCCTTTTGATGATGAAAAAGATCGAACAAGAGGCTAATCCAAATAATTTGTTTTTATTTCAGTAGGTGATCCTGCCCAGCAGTTGCAGGCGACCTTCTGAATGACTGGCCCTCCTTGTCTGTCTTCTCAACACCGTGACAGAGGGTGGGAAGAACATGTGCTAAACTTCTGCTCTCCCCATAGTCACAGGCAAAAGGGAGAATGGGTTGTCCCAATATCAATGTCCTTTCCTCCTTATTCCCAGTAATTAAATATTTTATTTGATTATTAATCTTGCAGAAAAAAAGTGACAATTTGTTTTTGGTGCAAATTATTATCTAGTCTAACCTGTTTCAGGTATTGATGCATGCTTGCCTAAATTTCTGACTGATGTTAATTCTCAGACTTTATCTTAATAAGACTTTCCATGGAATGCATATTCAAATTATCTTTTTGCCTTATAATCCTTCTAATGACTAAATTACTGTCTTTTCTTAAGATGGCAAAAAAACAAACAAAAACCCCAAACAATTTAAACAATAATATTTTCAAAAATATGGTTATAGTAGATTCATAGACATAGCATTCCTAAAGACTTTAAAAGTAAGGTACTGTGCTAAAGATACCTTTTAAGGGTCAGAGTTAAATAAGAACAACTGTAAAGATAAAAGTAATGGCAAAGAAAAGCAGGCAGACAGAGAAAGAGGTCCTGGTATAGGCCTTTGTCTCTAAGAAAATATCTCAGAAAGGGCACATGGAATTGAATCAGGACAAGGCCAGTTCTGAAATGAAGTTTTAATGTGGATGAAATGCTATTACCCATCTTCAGAAGAGCTGCATATATCTGGATAACTGAGAACATTCAAGAGCTCTTTTAATAACTTATCACCCACATGCACACTAATAAAAATGCCATTGAGAATTTGCTTTACTATATGAATTTGAGAGCCTGAAATTAGGACACAGGGTTCATCATACTCCAAGAATTTTTTGCTATATTCCCCTTAATTTGTCCATCCAAGCACCCAGGCTCCTAAGCAGCCTACAAAAGATTGAAATAATCATCCTTAATTTTTTTGTGTGTAAATATTATATGTTTTTAAATGGAATAAATTCAATTGTTAAGCAGGCAAATTAGTTCATTAAAAATCAGTAAGCATTTTAACTAAATAGATGAACAATTTAACATGTACAATATCAGAACTTCAAAAGACTGTCTCAAAATTCCTAAGAACATGCAGAATTTGTATGCAGAAATTGGAGCTAGCTGAAATGTTACCAAAACACAGTGCACATAAAGAGATAACTGATGGTCTTTAAGTACAGTAAAACGTGATTCCTTTGTCAAGTGATTCATTCAACATTGTGTGTTCTTTGGAACCAGGGTGTATGGAATGCAGCAGTGATACAGAAAAGATATCGAGAGAGGCACCTGCCTAATAGATGGAAGTCAGGAGAAAGTACTACTAGAAGCATGTTCTAGGGGATATCCCATGAAGAGAATGAAGGCTCCATTCACTAGCAATTCACAGGTGATTGAAAAGAACCTTTCCTAATTCTGAGTGCCTTTATCTTACAAAGATCAGCTAAAAACAATTTTAATTGGTGGCATTGACAAACATTGCCCAGCAGCATCTGGCTTAGTGCAAGTTTTATAACTGAGATACCTATTGATAAACTGTTTTCAAAGACACTACACACATTCTTTCTCTCTCTCTCTCTTAACAGATATTAACATTTCATAGCTCCTGGACACTGCTTCCTTCTTTGGCCCTCTTCCCCAGAATATTTGCCCTTTAACAAAGAACCCAGAATAGAAGAGGAAGGAGAGCAAATTTGGGGTTGTGCAACCCCAAAGATCAGGTGGAATGGTTTGTTCAGAGTAGAGGAGGTCAGTTTTGAAAAAATAATTATGATAACTGAACCAGATGTATAATTTTCTTGGGTGCAGGAACAAGTTTGATTAAGAATCCACTGTGCCCATGAAGTTTACCTTCTGAAGGTGGTGTCCTACATAACCTTCATGGGGGGAATCCTGGGTTTGCTTCCCCTCTCCAGAACTTTCTGTTGTACTCCCCTTCATTTTCATCTCATGCTTCCTTTTCTCATGTACCCTTCTATTTTTCTCTTATGTAATCTGGAAAAGCTATTTGTCTCCTTTGCTTTACCCTGTGACTCTGACATCCAAATGGAAGACATGAGTTTGGATTAATATAAGGATCAGCAGTTAGGCAAATTAAATTCACTCTTTTATCCAACAGTACTGATGGCATCTTTATGTTCTCCTCAAATTGTCTTCCCCTTAGTGTAAATGCAACATATTGTGAGACAGGTATGGTGGCACACGCCTATAATCCCAGTAGTAGGAGGAGTGTGGGTCCAAAGCTAGCCCCAGCAAAAACAAAGCATTAAGCAACTCAGTGAGACACTGTCTCTAAATAAAATACAAAATAGGGCTAGAAATGTGGCTCAGTGATTGAGTGCCCCTGAGTTCAATCCCCAGTACCCCCCTGAAAGTAACATATTTGTGGATTTAAGTAATGATAACAAATATCAATATACATGTTTTATATCCTGCAATATTTTCAATAATTTTAATGCATATCTGGCTTTTCATTATATTTATACATTATAATTAACATCATAATATTCTAAAATCTTACAGTTGTCATATTTTAAAAACATCTACCACTTTAGAGTTCAATGCTTCTTTGATTATGTGTCATACAACAGAAAACAACCAGAAATTAACTAGTCTATTTTGCTATAATAAAGAAGCTTTCCGAGCCAAAAGTAGCAACATATTATTAAACAGGATGTTACTGGGGCTTGCCAATGTTTGGCATTCTTCAGGGTCAAGGCAAGATCATGATCATACCAAAGGAGCCTTTAGATCAGAGATTTCCAAGCTCAGTTCCCCAAGACTCAGATGTTATAAGAATACAGTAGTGGGGTGGCTGGAGAATAGTTTGAATATGTCTAAAAGTTTAAGGAGAAATGTACATTTGCCTACACAAAGGCACTAAGAGATAAGTGAACTGTTATTTCTATTTTGGCTTTGCTAATACTAACTCGTACTGTTTAGAATTTCTGATGGACATTTATATGTTAGTAATAAATCAAACATTTTTGAAACAATGCTTAGTTCAAGATGGAGAAAAAATCATTCAAGTACCAAAAAAGCCTACTATGACAAAGTAACAGAAAATTTGCAGCTAATGAAAAGAAATAATTAGGAGTGTCTAATTTTGGAAGAATTCTAGCATAAATACTCACAGATTTTGTTCAGCCTTTAAATATAGTCCTTTGTGAAGACTTGGTTCAGATATTCTCCTTTGGCTTTTGCAACAGGAGTGTTGGTTTATTTAGCTACATGGTGCCCGAGACGTGACCACTGGTACTCAAGGAAATAGATGTGGAAAAAAAAAAACTTACAAATTTACTTGGAATAAAAATAAAAGATTCATCAGGCTCTGATAGCCATGTTCATTATGAGTTTGAAGTGAAAATGATTTTAAGATATGACACAGGTTATCCTTTAAAGAGAAGTATCAGTAAAATAAAAATAATAAATTGTAAATATTTTTTGTGAAAGAACATTTGGTTGAATTTTATTCTTGGCTTGGAAAATAAAGTGACTGGGATTTTAACTTCAGATTCATCACTATGCAATGATGTGGTTTTTGGAATGTCCTGGATCTCTTTGTTATGATTGCCCTTTCATGAACTATAGATAATGATATCTAACTCATAAAATTTTGCTGAGTTTCATATGCATTTCTGCACATATTAAGTACTCCAAAAATGCATTGTTATTATTTTGTTATTATGCTACTAGTATTATTTTCTGGATAACCTTGGATAAATTACTTTTTTCCTTTTCTAAATGTAAAAATGAGTTGTGGTTTGACAAGATGATCTACTATCACTCCTTGGATATGATCATTGAGATTCTTGCAGAGTGACCATGGATTTAAAATATTCAATGAATGACAACATACTAAAATATAAATCCAACAGTGACTGAGGTTGCGAGATTGAGAACCCATTTCTTGGTGTCCTGAGATTTGCCTTTCCATGACTAGTATTTTTTTTTAACCTTGTATCTTGCAATCACCAAGGTTTTTTTTTTTTTTTAATAGGTGAGTCATCTGTATCATTTTTCTGATTTTGAAAGGTCAGTCTTGTCTAGGTAATCCTTTCCACCTCACCCAAAGTGGCCATATGCTTATGTATACAAGTATGTAAGAGTGTATTCTTTCATTTTTTCAAAATTAGGAACTTGAAACCCTAGATACAACAAGTTGTAAAACAAAGGTTAGAAATTGCTAGGTCAAACTTCTCTAATTCCTAAGTACAGTCTGTGATAAATGCTAGCACCGCCAGAACAAGGACTGATCTATCTATTTTTGATAGAATAAAAAACAATTCAATAGTGAGTCAGGGGTGTTATCTCTCCTTTACAAGACCAGCATATATTTTCCTGTTTAGTTTGATGACCTAAAAGCATTTTTTTAATGGCATTTATCTTGGAGAGACTCTAACAAGGCAGGGACTCATACACAAGGTACTCATCAATCTTTCTTCTGCTGTCTGAATGTTAGGTTCCAAAACCTCTCCAGCAGAATAAAAGGTAAAATAAATTACTAGGTAAAATTTAATACCTAGTTCCCATGATAAATAATTATGGCTGTGCTGGAAACTTTGATAGAGTGGTAATGAGTATCCCAATCTATAATATGTAATGTATCAACTGAAATTTTATATTGAATTCTTTCAGCAGGTTTGACTTCTATATGCCTGTGAACTATAAAAGGCATTAGGTACGGAAACCAGAATACTAAAGCCTCAGCCCTTTCAGTGCAAGAATAAATGCTGACATATGCACATGCACACACACACAAAAAAATTACAGAATAACATTGATATTTGTTGAAAAATATGAGAAAATCTAAATGGTATAAAAATAATCTACAAAAATGTTGACAAGAAAAGCTTTTACATAGACTTTCAAGGAAACAAGGAAAAGGACTAATGAATAGCACCTTGAAATTCATTTCATACTTTGTTCCTAAGCCAGTCTTAAAAATCCTCTGCTTACAACCCTTGACTCTCTCCAGTACCATCAGAATGTTTATTTCCTTTAACAAACCATCATTTCTCATCTCACACCTTTTCGTTCATTCATTCATTCATTTACCCATTCTACAAACATATATGTGGCCCTTATAATGGACCCAATAATATGCCAAGAGCTGGGGCTGTAACAATGAGCAGATATACAACCTTTCT